TGACTAGGCGGATCTTTGTTGCCAGTCTGATGTCTCTACTCTTTACTATTTTATTTAGATTGGTCATTGCTCTCCTCCCAAGAAGTAAGCGTCTTCTGATTTCCTGGCCGCAGTCTGCGTCTGCAGTAATCTTTGCACCTAGAAATACAAAGTCTGTCACGGCCTCCACGTTTTCTCCCTCTATTTTCCAGTTGTCAATCATTCTTGTTGCCATAATCTTGGTTTTTTTGACGTTTAGCTGCAACCCGGCTTTTGCGCTTTCTTCTTTCACCTTGATTAGAAGGCTCCTCAGCTCCTCCTCGCTTTCGGCCATCAGAGTGGTGTCATCTGCATATCTGAGGTTGTTAATGTTTCTTTCTGCAATTTTCACCCCAGCTTTGCATTCATCAAGCCCCGAACATCGCATGATGTGTTCTGCATACAAGTTAAAAAGGTTGGGTGAGAGGATGCAGCCTTGCCGTACGCCTTTCCCAATCTTGAACCAGTCTGTTGTTCCGTAGTCAGTTCTTACTGTTGCTCCTTGGTCCTTGTACAGATTCCTCAGGAGAGAGACAAGGTGGCTTGGGATGCCCATCCCACTAAGATCTTGCCAGCTTTTAGATGGCACTTATTTGCTTACTTTGCTTACTAAAATCAGTTTAATTTGGTTAACAAAAGCTCTCAGTGGCCCTCTTTTCCTACTCAGGAAGAGCTGTAAGATGGCATTATAGATGCACTTGCGGGGAAAGACCAAAGAAGAACAGGGGGCTCAGTATTTATATAAAAATACACATCGATTTATACACACTTTTATACAACCAAACATATAGGCACCGTCGGCTTAGCCCTTGGATCCTCAGGCCACTGAGTGTTGTTGTCCTTGTTGTTGTCGAAGTAGTTGACTGCAGAAACCAGTGTGATTTATATAAACTCGAACACTGGTGCTTTTCCCAAGTGGCCTCCCAAATCTCAATACAAAAAGTTCACGAATAGTCTCAGATGTGTTACTGTGTGCAACAGCAAACAAACACCCCAAAAAATAACACCAAACCGTAAGCACAGTATAGTCACCTTGGAGCACTGTAAAACTCCATTGGTTTCAATACCGATTTTCTTGGGAAAGAGCCCCGTGGCAATAAAAGGCAGTAAAAGGGCAAAAAACAAACAAAAACCCTGGGTTTCCATAGGGAAGTGGGGTCCACTTCAGCCTCTGCAAAGGACATGGCTCCCTCGACCTGGGCACAAGGCGGCCTATCGCTAGAGAAAGTGTGGAAGGCCATTCTGAAACAAGGATTCTTAAAATAGATATATATATAAGTATTATGCAGAAACCATTTTTTCCCTAAGAGCTGCTTGTCAGTTTATTGCCACCCCGGTTCTGCGCAGGTTTCACAGGGGAGTAAGTCGGTTTATTTCAAGGTTTGCTTCTGTTTAGGAAGTCGAAGGAGAGGAGCCCCGGGTGGTACAAAGGGTTAAACCCTTGTGCCTGCAGGACTGCTGACCGAAAATCCCTGGCCGAGCGGATGAGCTCCCTTCTGTCAGCTCCAGCTTCTCATGTGGGTACATGAGAGAAGCCTCCCACCAGATGGTAAAACATCCGGGCGGATGAGCTCCCTTGTCAGCTCCAGCTTCTCGTGCAGGTACATGAGAGGAGCCTCCCACAGAATGGTAAAACATCCAGGCGGGTAAGCTTCCTACTGTCAGCTCCAGCTTCTCATGCAGGTACATGAGAGGAGCCTCCCACCAGATGGTAAAACATCCGGGCGGATGAGCTCCCTTCTGTCAACTCCAGCTTCTCATGCGGGGACATGAGAGGAGCCTCCCACAGGATGGTAAAACATCCGGGCTGGTGAGTTCCCTTCTGTCAACTCCAGCTTCTCGTGCGGAGACACGAGAGGAGCCTCCCACAGGATGGTAAAACATCCGGGGCATCCCGTGGGCAACTGCCTTGAAGGCGGCCATTCTCTCACACCAGAAGCTACTTGCAGTTTCTCAAGTTGCTCCTGAAACGCAGTATCTCAAGTTGCTTCTGACAAACACACACACGCACACACAAACAAATGAGAGAGAGGCCTCCCAAAAGAGAACAACCAAATTTTGGAGAGCGGTTGGGTTGCCCGAAAACTGAAAGTCCTTTTCCAGATTATTTCACACTTACAGTCTCCACCCCCGTTTCCTTTACCTGATCTATGATCCCACCTATATTGTACTCTTTATTATTATTATTATGTTTGCCTTCGAAACCGTGATCAAACTCCGGAGGGTTGTGTGTGTGTATACATCTGAGATACATGTATCTATATACAATCTCAGACCTCCCTCCCCTCTTTTTTAGCACCTGGATTTCCTCCATTCACTTTAAAGAAGTTTCTCCACAGGACAAAGGCCTGGGCTGAGGCGAGCGGAAGAGAAACTACCAAAATACAAGGATTTAAAAAAAAAAACAAGGGGGGGGGGAAACCTGCAACATTCCATTACATCCATGAAGAAATGGCAAAAAAATACCCCCTTTACTTAAAAAAATTAAGGGTGACGGAGAAATATTAAATATATTTCAAGTCTTTTTCAAAGCCAAGGAGAAGGCGAGGCGGAGGTCCCGGATCAGGAGACATTGTCCTTCAGCTTGGAGACGATTTTCTTGTCCTTGACGCGGCGGTTCTGGAACCAGATGGTGACCTGCCTCTCGGAGAGGTTGGTGGCCGCCGAGATCCGCCGCCGCTTGTCCTTGTTGATGAACTTGTTGAGGGCGTACTCGCTCTCCAGCTCCTTCAGCTGCAACTTGGTATAAGGCACCCGCTTCTTCCGCCCGCGGCGGTAGACGCACATCTCGGGCTGGTTGAGGGCCACGTCTCCTGCAAACGGAGAGTAAGAGAGAAGAGGGAGAGGCAAGTTAAAGGGGACACAGGGAGAGAGAGGCCTTCCGAAGGAAAGGAGCCCAGGAGGAAGAGGGTCAGGGCTGGGGGGAAACCCAGGGAGGCGCTGGCTTGCTTGGTTGATCTGCACGCCCCTCTCCTTCCTGCGCCTAGGCTTCAAAGACAGATCTTGTGCCACCAGCCTCTCTCTTTCAGATACTCTCTAGACCAGGAGTCCTCAAACTAAGGGCCCTCACTCAGGGTCAACCTAAGTCTGAAAGGACTTGAAAGCACACAACAACAACAACAATCCTATCTCATCAGTCAAAAGCAGGCCCACACTTCCCATTGAAATACTAATAAGTTTATATTTGTTCAAATTGTTCTTCATTTTAATTATTGTATTATTTTTAAGTGGGGTTTTTTGCACAACAAATAAGATATGTGCACTGTGCATAGGGATTCATTCATCATTTTTTCAAATTATAATCCGGTCCTCCAACAGTTTGAGGGACTGTGACCTGGCCCTCTGTTTAAAAAGTTTGAAGACCCTCTGCTCTAGACTGAAGATAGTGGCAGGAGAATGGTGTAATAGAACCATTTACATATTACTAAAGGTAAAGGTTTCCCCTGGCATTAATTAGTCTATGCCCTAAGCCGGAGTTGTCCCTAGACGCCTCCAAGGTCACGTGGCCGGCATGGCTGCATGGTCATGTGGCTACATTCCCTTCCCTGCAGAAGCGGTACTTATTGATCTACTCACATATGCTTGTTTTCGAACTGCTAGGTTGGCAGAAGCTGGGGCTAACAGCGGGAGGTCACCCACTCTCCGGATTCGATTAACCTGCTGCACAACTAAGGCCTTCCCTACATATTACTACTACTATTGTTGTTGTTTATTAGTTCAGTCACTTCCTCATGGACCAGCCCCTGCTAGAGCTCCCTGTCCGCTGCCGTCACCACCCCCAGCTCCTTCAAGGTCAATCCAGTCACTTCAAGGATGCCATTCGTCCATCTTGCCCTTGGTCTGCCCCTCTTCCTTTTTCCTTCCATTTTCCCCAGCATCATTGTCTTCTCTAAGCTTTCCTGTCTCCTCATTATGTGGCCAAAGTACTTCAACTTTGCCTCTACTATCCTTCCCTCCAATGAGCAGTCGGGCTTTATTTCCTGATGTATGGACTAGTTGGATCTTCTCACTGTCCAAGGCACTCTCAGAACTTTCTTCCAACACCACAGTTCAAAAGCATCTATCTTCCTTCTACTATTTAAATAAATATTAAATATTTATTTAATATTTACTACTATTACATATTACTAGTATTACATATTACTATCTTTCCTGGGGGTTTTTTTTTTGGGGGGGGGATGAACGGATATTTGTCTTTCTTGCATTTGAGCCCCATACCACACCGCTGAATAAAATCCCACATTATCTGCTTTGAACTGGGATATATGACAATGTGGACTCAGATAACCCAGGCCCTTCTACACAGTCGTATAACCCAGAATATCAAGGGAGAAAATCCCACAATCTTTGCTTTGAACTGGGTTATCCGAGTACACACTGCCATATATTCCAGTTCAAAGCAGAAAATGTGGGATTTTATTTAACTGTGTGGAAGGGGCCTCAGTTCAAAGCACGTATTGTGGGATTTTCTGTCTTGATATTCTGGGTTGTATGGCTGTGTGGAAGGGCCTTGAGCCAGCAATGAAAATCAAAAGAAAATGTTACAGCTGAATATTTCCATAGAGGACACTGGATAAGACAGGCTGAAATGCACAAATTACAATGGCCAACACACATTTTGGTGCCTCAAATGTTAGTCCTATTTCTGGGTATATTTTGACCTGCCGATTCCAAAAAATGGTGCTAGTTTTCACCTATCAGCTCTAGTTTTTGAGATACAGAACATATGCCACTTAGCAGACTTCATAAACTGGCCCAGAATACAATTGTTGTTCCTGGGTGATAAATGTCATTTCCTAGTTGCTTCTATCATAAAAACATGGAAAAAGTTCATTATACTGCAGACACTTTGTTTTTTGTGGGACATCCTGCAGCATATTTTACTATAGTTTTTCAATTGATATCTCACAGAGTCTCAACCAATTCAACATAGTTTGTGACAGCCACAAAAAACAAAGTTTCTGGAGTAGAACAACTATTTTTAAAGTAAGTGCAGCACAATTAAACAGGAAAGAAGACTTTCAAACTAGGAACAGAACTTTTTTCAAATGTTGTTACATTACACTAGAGAATGAATCCACTTTCAATCCGGTTTCTGCCTCCTGCAGAATTCTGGGGTTTGCAGTTTAGTGAGGCTGTTAAAGGCTCCTCCCTAAATTACAAACCCCAGAATTCTGAAGAAGGCAGCTGAATGATGTAATGAATGGCAAATGAATCCTCAGATTAAGTGCCTCAAATAACCCTAGAACAGGTGTGAAAACCAAGACACCTCTACCTACCTACCTATCTATCTATATGTCAGTGTCTTGGGTTTTAGACCTAGGGTTTTAGGCCTAAGAAAGTTTCACTTTATTTTCTTCTTCTTACAAGCCAGTCATATTTAATCTTCTATCCTCATTAATAATACAGCCCTATATATATATATATATACCCACACACACACACATATATATATATATACTAGCTGTCCCCTGCCATGCAGTTGCTGTGGCCCAGTCTGTGTATATGTGTTTTGTGTGTGTGTATATGCGTATATGTATGTGTATATATTTGTGTATATGTGTATATATGTGTGTTAATAATAATAATAATAATAATAATAATAATAATAAATATATGTGGTTTTGTGCATGCATTGTAATATTTTTTTTGGGTTTTTTTTGGCTTTTTAAGTCTCTTCTGCTGTGTTTTTCAGTGTTTTTAAGAGTGATGGTCACTCGTTGGCCTGATAGGTGTATTTTGTCCAAATCTGGTGTCAATTCGTTCAGTGGTTTTTGAGTTATGTTAATCCCACAAACGAACATTACATTTATATATATCTCTATCTCTATCTCTATCTCTATCTCTATCTCTATCTCTATCTCTATCTATCTATCTATCTATCTATCTATCTATCTATCTATCTATCTATCTATCTATCTAGCCATATGTGGGGTGTCCTAGGGGTTTAAGCCTAAGAAAGTTTCACTTTATTTTCTTCTTCATACAAGCCAGTCATATTTACTTCCATCATCATTAATAATACAGCCCTCTCTCTCTCTCTGTGTGTGTGTGTGTGTTATCAATGAGGATAGAAGATTAAATGTGACTGGCTTGTATGAAGAAGACAATAAAGTGAAACTTTCCTAGGCGAAGTCTCCTTCTCCAGATGCCCTTGATGTTGTTGCATCTTAGGGAGTCGGCTTCAGTCTACCAAAGTTTAGACTTTCTCAAGTGCTACAAGTTGGGGACTTTGCGCAGCCTGTTCCAAAGGAAATGAGGCTTCTCTCCTTTCAGACCTCCGAGGCTGGTTCCGCCTGTGGCTTGGGGAAGGGGGCAGGGGCCATCCGGGGCCGGGAGCCTCCAGGGCAGCCTTGGCAAAGCAAACAACAGGGAAAGGAGCACGACAACAAGCTCAGAGATGAAAGGGAGAGGCCTGTCCTCCTGGCTCGGCCGCAGAGCGCCTTTGAACTCGCCCTTCTTGGGACCTTTCTACAGTCCGGACAACAATGGAGCGGACTGGAATGGGAAGGGAATTGAAAAGTCCAAACAGACCGAAACAGGGATAAAAAAAAACCAGGTAGGATGCGGGGAAATTTTTGCAAAGGAGTTAGTTCTACAAGTCCCAACGGCTCAAGGTCAACATGGCTTGCTGGGAAGAGTCCTCGCGAGATCAGAAGCCCTTCAAACCACAGCCGAGACATGAAACACGTTTTCCTTGCGAGAAAAGGAAAGGCGGCCGTGCTCGGCCAAGAGGAAGGCAGCGGGCAAATAGGGAGACCCCTTCACAAATGGGGTCACTCGGTTCAAGAAAGCCACGGCCCTGAGTTCACAAGACCTGGACAGGGCTGGTTTGTTAATTACGAGGAACTGGGAGGTCTCTTATTCGTAGTAGAGCCGCCATAACTCAATGCTGACTTGGACTAAGGCAAGTAGCAAAAGTAAATATGCAAACAAGTAAGTGCGGAGAGGAAATCTGAGTGGAAATAATGCAACAGAGGACATGCAACGGACCCCACACTCCAGAAACTTGGTTCCCCGTTTTTCCTAGTTTCCAACAGACCTCACAACCTCTGAGGATGCCTGCCACAGATGCAGGCGAAACGTCAGAAGAGAATGCTTCTAGAACATGGCCAAGCAGCGGAAAAACCTACAACAACCAAGTGATTCCGGCCATGAATGCCTTCGTTTTTGTGGCTACCACAAACTATGTTGAATTGGTTAAGACTCGGATGAGATATTCCTTTAAAAAACTGTAGCAAAATGTGTTGCAGGATGTCCCACAAAAGCAAAGTTTTTGCAATTTTCCCAATGTTTTTTTTATAACGGACCCAATTAGGAAATGGCATTTATAACCCAGAAACAAAAATCGTGTTGTTATTATTAGTAGGCAGTGGTTAATTGCCTTCAAATCTTCTACTTATTGGTGACCCGGTGAATGCAAGGTCCCAAAGTCACTCCACCCTCAATACCCAGCTAAGCTCTGTTGTTGTTATTGTTGCTGCTCTGTCAACTTTGATTTGGTAACCCAATGAATTAGGCTGAATCTACACTGCCATATAATGCAGCTCAACTGTATTGAACCAGATTATATGAGCCAACCCATATAATCCGGTTCAATGCATTCTGAAACTGCATTATATTATACGACCTAGCCCTGCTCAGGTCTTATGATGGTAATGATGATGATGATGACTGGGGTATTGTGTGATTTCCAGGCTGTATGGCTATCTTTCTAATAGCATTTTCTCCTGACATTTCACCTGCATAGTCCTGCCCGGGTCTTATGATAATAATAAAAAATAATAATAATGAGGATGACCGGGGTATTGTGTGATTTGCAGGCTGTATGGCTGTCTTCTAACAGCATTTTCTCCTGACATTTCGCCTGCATAGCCCTGCTCGGGTCTTATGATAATAATAAACAATAATAATAATGAGGATGACTGGGGTATTGTGTGATTTCCAGGCAGTATGGCTGTCTTCTAACAGCATTTTCTCCTGACATTTCTCCTGCATAGCCCTGCTCAGGTCTTATGATGATGATGATAATAATAATAACTGCTGGAGTATTGTGTGGTTTCCAGGATGTATGGCTGTCTTCTAGCAGCATTTTCTCCTGACATTTCGCCTGCATAGCCCTGCTCGGGTCTTATGATAATAATAAATATAATCATGAGGACGACTGTATGGCCCTGTTCTAAAAGCATTTTCTCCTTAAATTTCGCCTGCATCTGTGGCTGGCATTTTCAGAGGGTCATAATAACGACTCTTCTGAAAAATTGAGACTAAGTGCGACTTTCTCTCAAACTAAAGCGGTGGCCATTCTCCCAGTGCGGATAGTTCTGAGATGCTGGAAGAGCTTCCCTCCCTGTGCTCTCCCCTCTGTGGTTGAGGTGGGCAGCTCCTTCCTTCACCCAGCGGCCTCCGCTTCCTGTCCGGCTGACCTCCCCCTCCCCTCCCCTTCCCTCCCACGCCTACCTGGGAAGGAGGACTTCCAAAAGTGGGAGCCCTGGCCCTGGTCCTTGGCGCAGTACACCTGCCCGTTCCACCCGTTGGCCAGAGTCCAGGACTGGTAGCCCTCCATGGAGATGTAGGCCTCGTGGCGGGGTTCCCCGGCTGCTGCTGCCGCCGCCGCGGAGCCAAAGGTGGAGACCACGTCCAGGTATCCCGCGGGCACGTGCTGGTAGGGCCCTCCGGCGGCGGCGGCAGCGGCGGCAGCGGCGGCATAGCCCTGGTAGAAGGAGACCTCCTTGGCCCGGGTGGAGGCCTCTCCGACGCCCCCCACGCCCACTCCGCCGCCTCCCACGGCCGCCGCTCCAGCCCCTCCGGGGCCCAGCCCGGCCACGTCCATGTACTTCTCCACGGGGAAGGCGGCGGCGTGTGGGGAGGCCTTGAGCGCGGCGTTCTGTTGCAGCCCGACCCCGTGGGCCATGCGGCAGCTGTAGTAGCCGTTGCCGAAGGGGTGGTAGCCCGGGTGGTAGCCCAGAGCGGCGGCGGCAGCAGCGGCAGCGGTGGCCGTGGCGGAGGGAGGGGGCGCCGCCGTCGAGGGCCCGCCGCTGCCGCCGCTGCAGTCCTTGGAAGAAGGCGCCTCCGAGGAGGACGAGGACGAGCGAGCCCCGGCCGAGCGCTCGTAAAGGAAGCCTGAAGCGGAGGAGGAGGAGGAAGCCCCCGGGCGGTTCGGCGGCGTGCTCCCGAAGGCCGGCGGGGAGAGGAAGTTGCGGCAGTGTCCTCCGCCTCCGCTGCTACTCCCCCCTCCGCCTCCTCCTGCGTCTCCCCGAAGCGGCTCCATCTCCCAGCCGCCCGCTGCTCGGCTCATGCTTCCCGCGCAAAAGGATCCTGTTGCTTCTTCTGCTTCTTTGGCTCCTGCTGCTGCTGCTTCTCCTCCTCTTCCCCGTCTTGGCCCGGCGGCGGCGGCCCAGCGGCGCTCATGGCGAGCCCTCTGTGGGAAGAAGGGGCCAGCCAGCCAGCAGACAGGCGGGCGGATCAGCGGCCACCCCTCCTCGCCGCGCTCGCTCGGGATGGTTTATAAAAACGAAGGCCACGTTGGGAGGGAGCGAGGGAGGGAAGGAAGGAGGGAGGGGGCGAGGGGCAGCAGCGCCTCTGGCTTCGCAGGGAGGCTGGGCGGGGCCCCATTGGACGGCGGCGCCCACGTGACCCTGGCCCGGCCACCGGGAAACTGAGCCAGGGAGGGGAGGAGGGAGGGAAAGAGGGAGAGAGAGAAGGAGGGAGGGAAGCTTCCCCCTCCCCCTCCACATCCAAACTTTGTTTAGAAGTGTGCAGCTCCACTCCTCCCATCCGTAGACTTCTTTTCCTTTCAAAGAAAAGGGGGAATAAAGGAAGGAGGGGGAGGGGGAGAGAACAAAGCTGCATGTATATGTCTCTCTGTGTATTCATACATATATACCTACATACACACATATTTTAGAGATAGAGAGATATAATGTGCATGAATAAATATAGACATATACATTATATATAGAGAGATAGAGATAGATACAGTGTGCATGAATAAATATAGACATATACATTATATATACTAGAAATGGAGATATATAGTGTGTATAAATAAATATGTACATGTACATTATATATACTAAAGATAGATATAGTGTGCATGAATAAATATAGACATATACATTATATATACTAGAGATAGAGACAGAGAGATATAGTGTATATGAATAAATATGTACATATATATTATATATACTAGAGATGGAGATAGGGATATATAGTGCATATGAATATATATATATATATACACACAACATACATTATATATACATATAGTATATGTGTGTGTATACACACATATTTGGATCACAGTGTGTATGCACATAAATATGTATGCATATAAATATATAGTGTGTATGAATAAATATATACATATACATTATATATGCATGCATATAGTATGTGTGTATGTATACAGGTGTGTGTGTATACATACATAATGTATGCATGTGTGTGTGTGTGTATGCATACATTATGCATAAACACACGGTGATCCACTGGTTTGTTTGCTTGGGCCCACTCAGCTACTCAACCGCTTTGGGTCGCCTTGTGGAGGGAAAAGGCAGGTATAAATAAACATAATAATAAACATAATAATAACAATCTCCTCACTGGGTGACTTTGGGTGAGCCATACAATCTCAGCCCCAGAAAACCCCAAATTGGGTCCCCATAATTAGGGAAAGGGCAGGAAGGCACAGCACAACAAGTCTCTCTGTGTGTTTGTTGTTGTGTGCTTTCATTTCCTGACTCAAGGTGAAGCTACTCTAGATTTTCTTGGCGGAATTTGTTCAGAAGGGGTTGGGCTTCCACCTCCCTCTGAGGCTGAGAGCGTGTGACTCCTTTAAGGTCACCCCGTCGTCGGTTTCCACGACCGACCGAGTGCAGTCGTTTTGGCCCATACTCAGGCCCCTGCCCCAGGCTGGCTCTCCCGGGGTCATGCCCCTCCTCCAGTGGTCTTGGTCAGTAGAAGGGACATCAACCCTGAACGAGCTCATGAGGAGAAGCTTGGGATCCCAGTGACAGACAGGCCGACAGGCCAGGAGGGCGGATGCGAAGACAACCACCTTTCATACCAGGTAAGGACTTGAGGAGAATGAGGTTGGAAGTGGAGAACAGACGCAGACATTTTCTTGCCGCTGCTACTGCTCTAAGGATGGGATAAGAACTGGGGAGTGACTGAAATGGGAAACTTGAACGTTCAATACCATTTTTTGGCGTGGAAAGAGGTTTATTTCGTGCGGCCCGAGGACACTGGAAATCATAAAGATCGCCATCATCATAATTCCCATCCAAACAATGCCACTCGTGTCCATTGCGGACTTTCCAAAGCCTCTCGTCTCGAAATGGGAGGAATGTTGAAACTGTCGCTTCTGCCACCCATTTCCATCCCGAACCTAACCCTAGTTTTGGGCGAAATAAGGTCCGGAAGATATCCCTCTGCCTACGCTGAGTCCCGAGATGCAGATACTGAAGGACACGGAGACGCATTTCTTTCTGTTCATTGCTCTTAAATAAGTTCGTCCAACGCCTAGGAAGATATGAAAGACGTATAGGAAAAGGGAAAGGGGTGGTGGTGGTCTGGACAGATGTTATAACACCCGATCCTTGCAATGATTAATTAATACCTGCTTGCCATTCCCGAAGGGATAAAAAGGTAGGTTCTTTCTTTTTTCTGTCACAAATTTTAGCCGCCCCGGAGCTTCCCATGTTCTCTTCCCCTGCCAGATCCCAAATACATTCCTTAAGTGGATCACAGGGTGGAGCTTTCAGACGGGAAACTATTCTGGCACTTGCAGGTAGTGGCTGGCACCCCGGAGAAAAGCGAAAGGGACATAAAGGGAGAGCTCTAGATTTTTACCACGTGGATTAAGGACATTTAGGGCTCTTCCAGACAGGCCCTACATCCCAGGATCTAGGATATCCCAGATTATCTGGCAGTGTGAATTCATATAATCCAGTTTAAAGCAGAAAACCTGGGATCAGGTCCTGGGATATAGAGCATGCCTGGAAGGGACTTTAAATATCTCTTTTACCCAGTGCCCTTCCACACTGCCATATAACCCAGGATATCAAGGCAGAAAATCCCACAATATCTGCTTTGAACTGGGTTATTTGAGTCCACACTGCTTTGAATATTCCAGTTTAGAGCAGAGAATGTGGGATTTTATTCAGCTATGTGGAAGGGCCCCCCAGAAAATAAGGTTGGATATCCACTGCCAAATAATGCAGTATTACATGGCAAGTATAGACTGATGCAGTTCGAATGGCATTATTTGGCAGGTTAGACCCAGCCTAAGCCTCTCTTCCTAGATCCATTTCTATCAGCCTTCAAAGAAAACTGACCCTCTTCCGTGGTGTTTTACTGTCTTACGATAAGACTTACAGTGGAAAGAAACAAAGGGGGAAAGGAAGAAGAGGGAGACCTCTGAATAAAGGAGTTTTTTCCCCAAACTACATGCTCATACCTTACTAAAACTCCGCCAAACTAGAGTCACCTAAGAGTCCCATTTTCCCAAATGGCTGGTGGCTTTGTGGAGGTATTGAGAAGCTAGGTGGGGCCTCCTCTCGAAAGGGAAGCCGAAGACACTTGTAAAAGAATTCGTAGCAAATTCGGGATCGGATCCAGGACCCAGACTCCTGCTCTGGACACTGAGAAGTTGCTGCCCAATAGAAGCAACCTGCCCCTTCCCTCCCCCATCCCCCCAAGGCCTTGAAAGAGATGAGATTGGCAAAGGAAGGGGAAAGAAACAAAACCTGTCACTGGGGAAGGGTCCTGGTTTGCGGTCTTCCTGGGAAGAGAGAAGAATGGAAAAGCCCTGCCAAGGGGCCGGGCCGAGGAGAGACGCCAATGACTGGCTACTTTTTCTCCCAGGATGCATCTACAGTGTAGAATGGATGCGGTTTGATACCACTTGAACTGCCAAGGCTCACTGTTATGCTAGTTTGGTGAGGTACAAGCCCTCTTTGGCAAAGAAGGCCAAAGACCCTGTCAAACCAAATACTCCCATGATTCAATAGAATGGCAGTTAAGTGGGGTCAGGCTGCATTCATTGAACAGGGTAGAGCAGGCATGGGCCAACTTGGGCCCTCCTAGTGTTTTGGACTTCAACTCCCACAATTCCTAACAGCCTCAGGCCCCTTCCTTCCAGCTTAAGCGGTTGAGGGGGGAAAGGAAAGGGTCTGAGGCTGTTAGGAATTGTGGGAGTTGAAGTCCAAAACACCAAGAAGGCCCAAGTTGGCTCATGCCTGGTATGGATGTATGCCCAGTCATTCCCTCATCAACCCGGAGGGTCAAACAGTTCACGCTCCTCTGAACCCAATTCCTACTTGTTCCCAGGACACGTCAACCGCTCCGGATTAGGAAGTGGTTAGGAAAGGCCACGAAACCCGAAATGGTTCTTCTACTCAGTGGAATGACTCTTCCTCTTTTCTCTTGGCAGAGCTTAAGAGCGCACGGGTTTGGAAAATGTTTTCCCCCTCCTTTGAAAACATTCCTGCAAGATCAGAGAGGAGCACCACGTCCCACAGCCGTGGGTTAACTTGGATTGTTCTGTGATAACTCTTCAAGGCTCAGAAATTAGAAAGAAGGGGGAGGGTTAATAGGAACAGGGCCCAGCTCAAGCCAAACGCTTTGGAAAGGCTGTGGTGGAAAGGGCGCGCAGGGAAACCCCGACCCTACTGAAATCCGCAGCTGGATCCCTGCCTTGTTTTGAGTGGGAAGAACAGTCAGCTGCCAGCGATTCGTGGCGAATTTCCCCCCTCCATATGACGTGGCAGGGCCCACTCCAGCCCCTTTGAAAACATGGGTTAACTGAGGGCCCTTCCACACAGCCATATAACCTAGAATATCAAGGCAGGAAATCCCACAATATTTCCTTTGAACCGGCAGTGTGGACTCAGATAATCCAGTTCAAACCAGATATTGTGGGATTTCCTGCCTTGATAGTCTGGGTTATATGGCTGTGAGTAAGGGTCCTAACTATGTCTGACTGCCCTAGCACAGGGGTAGGTATTCCAAGGAGTGTGGGTATTCCAAGGAGTGTGTCCAGACTGTAGAATAAATGCAGTTTAACATCACTTTAACTGCCACGTCTCAATGCAATGGAATCCTGGGAGTTGTAGTTTGCGGCCCCGGAGTGTGGCGGAGGCCCCTTCTTTGGAAGCTTTTAAACAGAGGCTGGATAGCCATCTGTGGGGGGGTGGGGGTGCTTTGATTGTGTTTTTCCTGCATCACAGGGGGTTGGACTGGATGGCCCATGAGGTCTCTTCCATTTCTATGATGCTTGATCAGTGGTTCTCAACCTGTGGGCCCCCAGATGTCTTGGCCTACAACTCCCAGAAATCCCAGCCAGTTTACCAGCTGTTAGGATTTCTGGGAGTGAAAGGCCAAAACAGGTTGGGAACCATTGGCCTAGATCAGCAGTTCTCAACCTGTGGGTCCTCATGTTTTGGCCTTCAACTCCCAGACATCCTAACAGCTGGTAAACTGGCTTGGGATTTCTGGGAGTTGTAGGCCAAAACACCTGGGGACCCACAGGTTAAGAACCAT